ACAACTTGAAGTCCAGTGCTCTCTGTCAGCCTGCCAGTTCCTGTTAGGCCCCCAAATGCAGCTCTTCTCTTTCTTCACTCCCCTGCCCAGAAAGGGGACTCTGACATAGGGATGCAAAGCACTGTGTCCTACCTAGCACTAGGGCACCCCCTCCCCAGGGCACAGAAATGGTGGCTCCAGGGAGCCTGGCTATTTCAAAAGAGGATGCTTCCCCATTAGCATGGGTCCCCCATTAAAGAAGGCTCCTCCTGCCCAGTCAGCTGGGGAAGGGAGACAGGTGTAAACGGCCAGGGAGCAGGGCTGGCTGACCTGGGAGAAGGTGCCCCCACCCCCTTCCTCTCCCCCCTCCACTCCAGTGTGGGGATGCATTGGAGGCAAAGTCAATGTGTCTACAGCAAAGGTAGGGAACCAGGCCCAACATCATGCCCCAACCGACAGAAGCGGGGGCAGTGTACACAGCATGGCTCTGACCAGGAAAACTCGGACTGGCCCCAAGGCTGTGGAGAACTCCAGCCCTATCAGTGCAGGAACAGTTAAAACCTGGGCCTCTACTAGCTCAGTCAGTGACACTGTAACGGGGTGGGGGGTGGGGTCCCCAGGAAAAGGGGAGGATCCAGGTTCCCTGCCCCACCCAGAAGGAGGGTGGAACTGAGCAGAGAAGAATCTGGAGAGGAGACAGAAGAGGAAGGAAGCAGGATGGAGAGGCAGAAGGTGACCTGAAGGAGCCACAGGGAGCAGAGAGACAAGTGAAGAAACTGCATTTGCTTTTTAGCCCTGGACTGGGTGAAACATGTGGGTGAGAGACCCGTGGGGAGGTAACTAATGGCAGTGTTTATCTTGATTTTGATTTTGTTCTTTTCCTCCCAGACTTGTCTTGCCATTTCTGACCCATTTCTATGGGTCCTGGCAAGAAGATACCTTAGGTTTGTGACAGGCTTTCAGGCCTTGCTTTGGGCCAGTCCTGTCCTAGTGAACTTTTACCCACAAAGGGACGGGTAACTGGGTATTAGATTCAGAAACTATATTCTTTGTCTTTTCTGTATTGCACACTCACTGTATTAAACTTCCTTTCCATGAAAGGTCTTATATGTCTTGTCTTGATGTGGCGGATGGCAGAACCTAGTTAGATCGGGCAGGTTTGGGGCTCAGGGGTGCCCCTCTCTGTAACAACACCAGGAAACATCAACCCAAGTCAGCCACCCCTGAGTTAGTGAGACTGTGTCGCTGCCGAGGGGTAGGAAAGGCCCTTTGGTAGAGAGAAGGGCCTAAGTGTGCCCATGTCAACAGGCGTGAGGCAGCCCACCTGCTGCCTTCCAGGAAGCCTCCGGGCCAGCCTGAAAGCAGGGCCTGTGTCCTGTCGCCAGTGAGCACCTGCTGGGCACAGGAGGAAGTGAGAAGAGGGTCTTTGGGGGTTAGAAAACATGGCTGAGAATTGGGGTACCCACAAAGAGACCTCCATTTGCTTCTCTGCCAGAGTTGTGGGCAATTCCTCCCAGTGGTTTATAGGGCAGGGAGAACAAAGAGGCAAAAAGGGGAGACTTGGGAGAGGGGGCTCAACACAGAACCGGGGAGTGGAGGCTGCCAGGAACAGCACACCAGAGTGCAGCCCCACCCCCCTGAGCGCGAAGACCGCAGAAGGGGGGCCCATCTCGGGCGAGCCAAGCCAGGAAGGGTGTGAGGAGGGGAGCGCCAGAGCAGAAGGGCCTGCCTGTGCAGGGCCGGGAGGGCAGGCCCATCTGTGCCCACGTCCGGCGGGTCCACTGGGCACCAGCGGCCACGACGGGGGGCCTGGAGGAAAGGTGTGTCTGGGCCGGGAGGGGCCCAGAAGCCAAGCCTGACACCAGACAGGAGAAACTGGCCAGTCACGGGTGTCAGAAGACCCTCAGGCCCTGCGTCTCCCCACACAGCCGCCAGCTGGGGCTCAGAAACGTCCATGGATAGGCCTGCGCCAGAGCCAGGCAGATGGGGCAGAGGGGACACTACCCATGGCCAAGGGGTCATGAAAGAGGACCTGAGCCCCCATGACTAGAGGCTCACCACCCCGCCCCAACAGCCAGGTCTCCTGCAGACGCTGGGGCCGTGGGTGGCGAGGGGGACAGCAGGGCATAGGCACAGAAGGTGCTCTGGCCCAGCAGGTCTGCGCCCCGGATTGGGCAATCCGGCCATGGTGGGGGCACTTGTGAAATCCACACGCAGTGGCAGGTCGAGCCGGATGCCAGCTGCTATTGGATGGGCACCGTGCCACCGTCCTTGGGGCCCGAGGGTAGGAGGAGGTCTAGGTGGGAAAGTGGAGTCTAGGGAGGGGCTGGACTGGGCAGGGAGCGGGCAGCTGGAGGCCCCTGGGCACAGCAGAGGCTGGCCATGTGCACCAAGCACTGAGCACCCACATTTCAGATGTAGCAATCTGGCTTGAGCCCTGGCTCGCCTCGCTGCTGGCCTCCTGTGCTGCGGGGTGGCTACAGAGGGGGCTTGAGCTGACCAGAGCCAACACTGGCTGTGCCCAGTGACAGAGACCCCAGCGCGACCGGGGGGCTCGCGCACGGCCGCCTCGGTGCCAGCGACAGGGACCCCCACGCGACCGGGGGCTCGCCCAGCCACCTTGTTCACTGAGCCAGCTAACATCTGGCCCTGGAGGCCGCAGAGGCTGTCCGAACACAGCAACGAGCCAGAAGTACACCGTCAGTCCATCCTCCCACGCCGACCCAACCCTGCCAGAGGGGAAGAGTAGACGGCTGACTCAGGTGTCAGGTGAGACCCCTCTGCCTGCTCCCTCAGAGGCTGGGCACTGTCCCCAACCAGGTAAGCTGCCCTCTGCCTGGGCAACGGGCTGTGGCAAGTTGCCGCGGGCTCCTTGAGAATGTGCCGCACACCCTCAAGCTCCCAGACAGGCCACTCCTCGGGGCTGCCTAGTCATGGTAGCAGATCACGGAAAACCCAAAGGGCGGGACCACTGGCCTCAGCAGCACAACTCCACGAACACAGACCTGGCCGGGCTGCCCCGAAGACGGCGCAGATGAGGGTTGGGCCAGGGGGCTCCCCTAGGGGCACTTGGTTCCTCACCCTGCCAGTGAGGACCCCACCACCAGCCACCCAGAGAGCCTGCCCAGCTTCAAAGCCTCCAAGGACTGGGCACAGGGCCACGGCCCCACCACGGCCTGGAAATACAGAGCGTGTACGACAGGCAGGGTGTGTGGTGGCCAGCCGGATGGTGTGACCCAGACAGGACAGGGCCCCCCGGGCCTCTGCATTGCTCCTCTGTACATTGGAGATGACACTCACCACACAGGGTGGGGGCGGCGAGGAGTGAGTTTTAGCCAACAGTTACAAACTCTGGGGGGAGGAAGGGGGTGCCTGTCCCCAAAGCTACATCAAGGCTCACCTTTGTCTCATCTGGCGCAGCAGCTTGACCTGTCCAGAGGCCCCACATCCGCTCAGGCCCGCCCTGCACCAACGCTCAGGGCTCACAGGAAGCTTATCAATCTTAGGCTGCCATGCCCCCAAAAGGCCCTGCCAGCCCCCCTTGCCCTATCCCAGGAAAGGGCCACAAGCAAACAGCCAATTCTTGTCACTGCATGGATTTTGCTCCACAAAATTCACACCTTCCCTTCTGAGGGCCACAGCCCAGAACAACCCGATAGCTTCCCTCCTCCACACCCACGCATCAGACAAGGAGCCACCAAGCCCCAGGAAGCCGAGGGCCCCTGTGGCGTGGGGGTGCTCCGCAGCCCGTGTCTGGAGGAGCTGAGGCCCTTGGCGGAGGCCTTCCCAGGCTGCCCCCTCGCCCCCTCGCAGGTGCCTGGGCTTCCTGCCGTTCTCTCACATGGCACTTCCTCTCAGGGCCCCTCACTTTTCATTTCAGATCTCCGTTAGCCTTGCCCAAGGCAAAAACAAGCCCAGTGTCCTAGCCACAGATTTTGCTCTACACCGTATTAAACACTTAACACACTTTAAACACGTTCACCCCCGTGCAGACTAAAACCACCTGAGGGCCCCTGGTGGCTCGGGGCCCCCACTCCGAGAAAGCCTGGTCAAGTCCCCCTCACATCCTCCATCTGCAGGTCTGTAGCTGGGAGAGCAGTGACCGGGTCACGTGGCCACCGCAGGGAGCCACAGGCCTTGAGGCCTGGCCCGTCCACTCAGAGACCTGGCTCCTCTCCCCCTGCCCCAGGCCTCCAGCT